AAAGGGGGAAAAGAGAAGGAAGCAGTATGCAATACTATGCATAGTCGGACAAGGAGGAGCCAACCTAGGAGAGCAAACTATCGGAGGGTCCTTCAAACAGAAATACATCCTGCTGGTGCCTCTGTTTATCTGCATCAGTTTAATGGAGGTCTAGAGTCACCTGCAACTGCTGCATCAGAATCAGGTCCATCGAGGAAAACTCCACGCAGGGCTTGTTCGAGGAGTAGGAGATGGTCCCCCATTGCAATAAGAACAACATGCTCACTGTTGCAACCACATCCCAGCAATGACAAGCAGGGCATTTCAGAGGGAGACTGGAAAGGCTGGGGGTTAACAAAAGAGCGTCAAAACAGTCGAAGACCTCGTTCTATCTCCTCATTTAGCTGATTAGTTATTTTGAGAGTCAGTATTTTGGACTCATGAAAATATTATATGGTGCACAAAGTCGAATCATAGGAGTAGTTTTATTTTTGAGGCATTTCTGTTCTTGGAATTGTATGTACAGGTAGTAACCCGAATTCGTATAGCATACTTATTTTTTTTGGTAATGACAAAGATGACAACAATTTGTTGTTAGTTTGATAAACCTTTTCCATTTTTCATGAATTTACAGTAAATGTTCTTATAGATGCATACATATATCATTTACAGAATCATTTGTTTGTTTTTTCATAATATTCATGTCAAGATTGCTGCTAGTAAAAAGGAAAGAAAAACTAATGACTTAATCCAATTCAAATTTAAAAATGCCAATTTTCATTATGGTGGTATATTACAAAATAACTGAGTTAGGTTTTAGAGAATTAATAATCCAGATTTTAATATGCTTTTATTAATATATTATTTATTTTTGGTTGTTGGTCAATCTAAAAGGATTTCACTGAATATATTATTATTGTTATTTACTTTAATAAAAATATATTTTTGGGCATAAATCCGTTTGATATGAATGAAAGTATTTTTCAAAAAAAATAAATATCCAATTTAACTCTTGCTGAAACTATTCAATTTTTAAGAAATAAGATAATCTACTCGGGTCGGGCCGGGTCGGTGATAGTATTTGGTGGGAGAAAATCAGAAAAAATGGCGGCGAAACAGAAAAGAAAGCAGAAGGAGAAAAATACAGTAACGAAATGGGAGACGCAGAGCGGGAAGGAGGAGAGAAGAAGAAGAGCTTCGTGATACAGATTCCTTCCTATGAAGAAGTTATGGAGTGTTCTTCTCAGCCCAAAACGGCGTCGTCTTCATCTTCTCTCTTCAACCCTACGCCTTCTTTTTCTCAAGCATTCAAATTCGTCAAAAACTCCGAATTCTACTCCCCTCCGCCTCCTTCCTCCTCTCAATCCGCTACTCCCAGGTCTTGTTTGAATTTGTGAGTTTGACTTCGTAGCATTTGAAATTCTGATTGACTTATGAGTTTCTTTTTGATTATATAGACAGGTTAATAGTTCACATGTTACTGCTTCATCATCATCGTCGACGCCTACGCCCTCATCTTCAGCTAATCGAAATGCTATACTTGTTAGCAATAGACAGGTAAGATTCTTTTTCTTTGCTTTTATTTAATCAACATTACATTTGCGGAATAGCTCAAAATTGTCCATCTATTATGATACTCCTATTATTTTGATGTGTAATTAGCCTTCACCTTCATGGGAGCATGTAAATTTGCTTCGTGAATTTGGTTCATGTTGTTTTGCTAAGCTCGGTCTGCACCTATTGTATTCTCTGTCTTAATTTGAAGTTAAGAAATCCACAGTTAAAGAGATTGTACTAGCATCAGTATTGTGTCCTAGTCATATGCCTCTATAAACTGGTTGTAGGCCTTTTAGCACCTGAACAAAAAGACTAGTTGCACATATTGGGAAATAGTCGGATATATCAAACTGACATTCTTAGTTATCTGACCAAGCTATATGACAATGGACTACAACAACATACCATCACACAAATGAGTATCTGGGGAGAGTGGGGTGTACACAAACCTTATACCTATCTTTGTGGGAGTAGAGAAGTTGTTTCTGAAAGACTCTCGATTTACACAAATAAAAAGCTATGATGAAAATGTTGAAGAAAGAGAAGTACTAATTGTAAAGATATTGAAGATAACCGAAGTAAAGGAAATAATAGTAGTACATATGAGAACAGATTGATGCTCCAGACTAGAACACTGTTCTACCACTGTAAAGAGAAAAAACCATCTTCTGCGTACTAACTGTATACAATGGACTATGGATAGCAAATATATTTAGCTAGAAACTGAACAAACAAGAGATTCTTTGAACTTTTAACTTTTCCTATAATGAGTGAACCCAAGTTTCCAAAGTTAGCGGTGCAACTCTGAAATGAAGATTTTGCATATGCATATTCGCAGCAAGCTATTTTTAAGTTTTGTCTATTTATTCTGTTCTTTATATTCGGATGCAGAAGGGAAATCCGTTGCTAAAACATATCAGAAATGTGAGGTGGACTTTTGCAGATATTGTTTGTGACTACTTATTGGGCCCGAACACTTGTGCTCTTTATTTGAGGTTTGAAGGGCTTCCAATTTCAGTTCATCTTGCACACAATCTATTGGAAGAATCATATAGTTTCTGGCAATAGGTGCCTGTATTTGAATTCTTATAATGATTGCTGTCTTTTATGAATATTGGTTACTAAGCTTGACTTGGTAGATGATTTTGTAAAAATATAAATTTGAGATCTTTTTCCAGTAGTGCATTTGTACTACTGCTTGACATTCTACCCTTCTTTATTTTTCCTTCCATTTTCTGGTGTAGCCTCCGGTATCACCTGCTTCATCCAGACTACTTGTATTTTCGGATAAGGGAGTTGCAGAAGAACTTTAGACTCCGCATAATTTTGTGCCATGTTGATGTTGTAAGCCCTTTAATACTTTTTGACTTCTTCATATTTTCGTTTTGATGCTTTTACAATAACTTGACTCATGCTCATGGTTGTCTTTGGGTCCAGGAAGATGTTATGAAGCCTTTACTTGAAGTTACCAGAACTTCTCTCCTTCATGATTGCACTCTGTTGTGTGGATGGAGGTACCTCTTATGTTCGGTTATATTAATTTCATAATGTGGTATGCTTGCTTAGAAACATCTTGAAATTCCTCTGAGATGTTTCTGTTTTCTTCTATCATGACTCATCACTGTACATCATTATGCCCTGCCTTGTGTGGCTGTGCCGCAAAAAGATCAGTTAAAAAAAGACGCCTCTTGTTATTGTTGTTTCAGTTGAACATCTGTATAAGGCACTTTTAGGCAAACAACTAAATTGCTTAAATTTTTTAGTTTGGAAGAATGCGGACGGTACTTGGAGACGGTAAAGGTTTATGAAAATAAGCCCGCCGACCTCATTCAGGGCCAAATGGATGGGGACTACCTATCGCGGGTATGTGTATCAGTTGATTAAAATTTACAGTAAATTACTTTCTGATGCAGGATGACTCAATTATGTTGAGGAACTTGTCTGAAAAGAAAATAGTTGAAGAAGATTTTTTTCCCTCTAAGCTCTCTAATATGAGCACACTGAATTGTGGCTTATTGTTTCATTGTAGCTGAATCATGCTCTGACGGCAATACGACATGTTAACAAAACAGATGTTGTGACTCTTGGCTCAACATTTGGGGTAAGAGTAAAATTGCATTGAATTTTTGGGAACTAATTCTTTTTTTCAAGTCTTGCTAAGATATTGAGATATTGTGCAGTCTCTTTCTCATGTGATGGATGCATCTATGGAAGACCTTGCTCGTTGCCCTGGCATAGGAGAGCGCAAGGTATCCTTCTGTGTGATCCATGTTCTCTAATTTGTTGTTTCTTTCTCTTTCTTTTTGTTCTTTTCTGTATGTTGGTTGTATGATTTTTATGGTTTTGTTGGATTAGTTTTTCATTTGGGGCTATGAGAAGGTTGTTTGTTTTGTTGCTGGTTGTTGTATCAAATTATATTCAGGAAGCTCATGTTTTTCTAGCCATAGGCATCACTATGTTGTAAAAGCTACCAGCATCTGTGACGGCAAATAAGGCAATTTTGTCTCATCTCACTGCCTCTCTTGTTGTGTGCTTTATGACTGGAAGCAGTCTTATAGAGGATGTGGAGAAGCAAAAAGTCGATAACAACTATGCCTAAATCCCAAGTTTGTCGGGTTGGCTATAACAATCCTCACTATCCATTTTGCTCCATTTGAACCTATTTGTTCCTTATTAGAATCTGGAGTCGCTGCCACTAGAAGTTCTTAATATTTTCCATTGACATACCAATCTCTTACAAGAGCAAAGAAAATCAATTAGCTAGTTATTAAGATCCTACAGAGTGCTTCAATGTTATTGCCAGTTACTTCTTTGTTCAGTTTGATTTACTCATCGAACTTGTGATGGATCAGGTAAAACGCTTGTATGATGCTTTTCATGAACCTTTCAAGCGAGAAGTGCCAAAACGCCAATGCATTCCAGAAACTTCAGTCGCTAATGAATCTCATCCTGGCTCCAGCAACACAAAGGAAGATGAGAAAGAAATCGTGGATACAAGCAACAGTGCGAAGAAAGAACCCGAAGTGACTGTCAAGTCAGCACTTTCGGCTGCTTTTGCTAAGTACTCGCACAAAATTACAAGAAAGAAGAATAATAAATCACGAGAAGAGGAAGAAGGGAAATGCAGTACTAACGAAGAAGCTAAAACAGGAGACGTGAACGGCAGCAACAACTGCTGAATCTTGGTCTCTTCCTTTCAGGCTAACATTCCTAATTTTATATTCTCCCCATTTGTTTGATTTCATAGAAATTAATGGAAAACTCACAGAAGATAATTAGTGAGCAAATATTCAGAATTTTTTTAAAAAAAGTAGTATTTGAAAGTTGAAATTGTGCTTTGAACATGAAAATATAATTGGAGTTTTGCTAGTGAAAAATTAATAAATTATTATAGTTTAAATTTAGATATTTCAAAACTATATATAAAGTAGTGATGTAGCAAAAAGCTTGCAGTTTGCTTAACAATGAAAGCATCACTGAAGACTTCTACACAGTTTTCATCCATCTATGGTTTCCGCCGGGCTTATACAATCTCAGCTTCAGTCGATTTGCCAATGTGTGAAGTCCCTGACCAAAGGCACATGAATCGACAGAGAGCCTCCGGTAAACCAATCGACCAATTCTCGCTTATGAAATTGATTGATTCTTCCATTTCTTCAAATGGGTTTGCTCCTACTTCTCTTCTATTCCACGAGTTCTCTCGTTCCATTGATGTTAATTTATGTAATACACTTATCAGACGCTATACGGATTCAAAAAATCACTCGCGTGCAGTTTCCGTTTACGCCCAAATGCGTAAACTGAATATCCTTCCAGATTCCTCTACATTCCCGAGCGTTCTCAAGTCTGTTGCTCTGTTATGGTGTGGAGAAGTTGGGAAATCCATCCACTGTAATGCAATTCAGTTGGGTTTCACTTCTGATGTATATACAAACACTGCTCTGGTCCACATGTATGGCATATGTGGACAACCAGATGATGCTCATCAACTGTTTGATGAAATTCCTGACCGGAATGTAGTTACGTGGAATTCGTTGATCACGAGTTATACGCATAATAGGATGTTCAGAGAAGCAATTGATGTGTTCAGGGAGATGCTAGCTTCTGGGGTTACACCAGTTGAGGTCACTATGGTTGGAGTTTTATCAGCTTGTTCTCATTTAGGAGCTCTGGGTCAAGGGAAGTGGATCCATGATTATATTGTCAAGAATCGGTTGAGAGTGAATGTATATGTCGGTACTGCGTTAATTGATATGTATGCTAAATGTGGAGACATTGATGAGGCAAAAAAGGTTTTTGAAACTATGGGGTTAAAAAATATTTATACATGGAATGTATTGATTTCGGCATATGCCATGAATGGACAAGGTGAGGCTGCATTGCGGACTTTTGATAGGATGATTGAAAAAGACTTAAAGCCTGATCATGTTACTCTCCTTGGTGTTTTATGCGCTTGCTGTCACCAAGGTTTTGTGGAGGAAGGTAGAAGGCTGTTCTCAAGCATGATAAATCAGTTTGGATTGCAGCCAAAGATTGTGCATTATGGGTGTATGATTGATTTACTTGGACGTGGTGGGTTCTTGGATGAAGCTATGGAAATTATTCATTCTATGAAACTAAAGCCAGATGCAATAATATGGAGGACACTACTTGGTGCATGCAGATTTCATGGAAGAGAAGAACTTGGTGAATTTGCTTTCCATAAGCTTCTGGAGCTGGAACCAACGAATGGGGAAAACTACGTGTTAATATCAAATGTTCATACTCAAAAAAAGAAATGGACTGAAGTTGGAGAAGTCAGGGAGCTGATGGACAGCAGTGGTATTAAAAAGATTCCTGGATGCAGTTCAATTGAACTAGAAAATGCAGTTTATGAGTTTAAGGCATCTGATCCACTTAAAACAGGGAATGAAGAAATACATAAGATGTTGCAAGACATGAAAAATCAGTTGAAGTTAGCTGGTTATGTGCCTGAAACAGAGATAGCTCTGTATGATATTAATGAAGAGGAAAAGGAGCATAATCTGATATTCCACAGTGAAAAGCTTGCTCTGGCATTTGGGCTGCTACACTCATCTGAGCCTACATTAAGGATAATGAAGAATTTAAGGATTTGTCAGGACTGCCACCAATTCTTTAAGCTTGCTTCAGCAGTTTATAAAAGAAATATTGTTGTTAGAGATATAAAGCGCTTCCATCATTTCACTGGAGGTCTTTGTTCATGCAAAGATTATTGGTGATACCTAGTATATATATAGGTGATGATATAGGTGATGTTACGTCGTCTGACACAATAATGACACTTACAGCACTGAGACCGGCAAATTTTCACGGAGGATGTCATATCTCATTTGTATAATTAAAAGTATCAGCTTCTGTTTTTGACCTTCAGGAAAAAGTGATCTGAGAGGCCTCAGAATCTGCCATCGGACTTGGGTAGCTATTTCTTATTTTGATGGAAGGATTACTTGGAATATTTTCGTGTTCCCTGGTATACCAGACATAACCTAGCACGACATGGACAAAATCCAGATACAGTTTATGGTTTTTGATACTGCCGTGCAAAACCTTTTGAGGCGATTGTGAACTTCTATTCTGTTTGGGTAGTCATGCTGCCAATATCTTTACAGTTTCTGGAGTTGGCTTGTTACTAGAAACCTATCTTGTGAAAGTTTTAAGTCCGCGATATTTGAGAAATATTCTAGGTTCAACGGAGCTTTTTTCATTTTAGCTGTATGACTCTTCCAAAGGCCCTAAAGATTTCAGGAACTGCAGAATGTGTGCTTTGAAGGCTCTCAAGTGTTAATGCCCATTTTTCTTGGCAAATCTGATGTGCTGACAGTTTGTGTTATCCATGATCATAGATAGTTATGGCATATCTCAGTTAGACGACTAATTTTCAAGTTTGTAGTACAGTCTCTTGAGCATATAGGTGAGAAACATTTTGGCATGTCTCACATGTGGATTGTGCACTCTCAGAACAATTCTTCAGAAGTTCACCTTCTAGACAATAATGATGTTGATGTAGAGTATCTAAATCTCTGCTGGAAAATGTGTACTCCAAAGGTACATCGCGATACCCTAGTTTTTATTTTCACATATTTATTGCTTCTTTTGATAAAATCTTCAGCTAGAATTCTTGTATGACTGTTGAGGCAGAATATGTTATTGCCATCACAAATACATTGCTTCTTGACCTCTTCTTGGGCTAGCTTTGGCAACCTGGTTTGTTAGCCCATAAATCTGTCTGTGCCTATTATCCCTGGAATTATTAGCATCTCAGAGGAAGTCTTTCACTTGAGGAGCTATTTAACTGCAGGAACATCCTTTAGTTTCATGAAACCGTAGTATCGTGCCTCATTTTCATTTAATTTGGTGACAATGTACTGAGGATTGAAATTACAATGATGGTAATCAGAACATAAATGTGAGGTCTTATAAATGGATTTCACTTCATATATCATACAATAATTATTTGAGAATAGCCTTCAGCTATAATATTTAAATAAAGAAAACAAAATTTCTTTCCTGAATAGAAAGAAGAAAAAAAATCCACTCTGATAGAAGCTAGTAAATACTACATGGCTGGACAAATCTACTTCAGAAATAAATGAATTAAAATTGGTTGCACTCCATCTGTGTTTATGCTTTCAGATTCAAAAAGTCTCGGGACCAAGGTGAGCGAAGTGTGGACTTTGATAAGCTTCTTGTAGCATCTCACTGTCATCATATGAATCTCGATATGTATCCAAGTTCTTATCTGCATTTCTTAGTACTGACAGGCAGAGTTCTTTCCTCCATTCTTCTAAATGTGGGAATCCTATGTAGTCTGCATACTTGTCACAGTACTGCCAAAGAAAATCAGACAAACACAACATTTATTAGGTTTTCCTAGTGCTGTGGCTTAAATGCTCAAGTCAACTTGTGACAATTGGTTTTTGAGCAACTTCGATAACTTTACCTCAAAATTAGCTAGATCATGGGTATTATGCTTTGGAATGCCATCAATTTCTCTTGAACGATAAAATTCCTTGATGGATTGCATCATCTCATCCCATGAGGGGAGTGTTCTTTTCCCAGACAGCAGCTGGGCAATCCATTTTGCTTGTGACTCAAAGAAAGGAAATCCTATGAGCTACATTATGAAAATGAGAAGATCTATTAACTGACACTGCATCTTTCAAACATGGATACTGATCTATTCATGGTCAGTAATCCAAAACAATGATAGAAGCTGTTTTTCCAAGAATATAATTAGGACTAAATCTATTTCTTAAATTTAAAATTTAAGGCACAATGAATTATTGGTTGATTAATTGTTGTACAAATGTGTAGGGGTTAACAGTTGGGAAGTGGTTGTGGTTGGGTGGTAACTGGGAAATATCCATTACCGTTCATATTTAATTAGAGGTCTAAAGTTTGGGTAGGAGAATGACATTGCCTTTGGTAGGGGGCGTTTTACCCCAAAGTGGAAGTTCCTAGCATGAAACCCGATTAATCAGGTTCCGTAGTGGGACCATACACCGGGGAAACTAAAAAGAAAAAAAAGTCAGGAAGTGGTTACCTTTCTGGGTATGCCAACGAAGGAGAGAGATGGAGCAAGAGAAGGGGGGAAGGTGTGCTCATAAAGTGGGCCCACTCTATCATCATCAACTATTACCATTCCTTTGGTGTCAAGAAATGGAAAGGAGTAGGAGTACCTGTACAATGCCCAAAAAAAAAAATTGGATTTGTCATTATTTGTTGCTGTAGCAAGATTGTTTTCACTTTAAGACAACACCATGTCTAAGAACTTCATAGTTCTGTCTCACTACTTCTGGTGAATTCAAAGTATATAAGTCAAATTATTTTTTAAACTTTTTACTACACTTCAAAAATTCTTTATATATATGTGTGTGTGTTTAAGTTACATAAGACAAAATGAGTATTGCAAAGGCAAGTGCATAGAGAGAGCATTTTACCCTGTACAGTATATGATAGTGTCTGCATCGATTGAAGTACCATCTACGAACAATACCCTCCCATCTTCATGTAATGAATCTATCTGCATTTTTCATTCTAGATTAGTTATACCATCAAATATGAAAAATGTCTTGGGGTTTTCATGTTTCAGTTAACCGCATGGTCAGTTTTTTGATTTAACAAACCTGTGGACAAAGATGTAAATTTTGGTGCTTGGATATAACTTTTGACAATCCTTCAGAAACATCAAGAGATTTGGCACTGAGATGGATCTCCTTTGCCACATCTACAAGCTCCATTCCTATATCTTGACCACTTAGTGAGTTTCCAACCACCACAACTACCTGCTAAGATAAAAATATTTAGCAAGTTGTACGGATAAAAGTTGAAGTTTGATTCAAAACAAAGTTAACACTTCTTTATGTGAAAACATAGATGATATAGTCATGTGGTCCACTGTTTATTTTTTTATTGGAACACATGAGATGCACTGGAGTTCCAATTATGACAGCTTGATATGTTATAGCTTATTAATTAACTATGTTTCTGGAGCTTGCAACACAATTATTTTTTTAAAATAGAAAAAGTAAAAAAGACATCTTGTTGATCATCATTCATGTCTATGATTGTTGAGTAAAAAAGATCCTGCCCGCCAAGGTCGGGTTAAGGTCTGGGTACACTCTACCCGTTGTTGTCTGTGATTGTAGAGATTTTTGCATTACCTCATTCCGAAAGGGTTCTGGAACCCTGTAAATGTGGCTATGCATCTGTTTTCTTCTCCATGCATCCATTCCTTATCAAACAGAACAGGTAAAAAAGCTTTTAGTGTCTTTATTATACTATTGGATAAAAAGAACAAAAGTAAATTACAGAGTCTGCATTATGTGTCTATGCAATTATATAATACATGTTGTAATTAACTTTGATAAGAAGGTCTTATGATTTTCTAATTCAACTTTACCTTGACATGACCTGACTATGAAGGTATTGATTTGATTGATAATGTTAGTTATGACTCTGGGATCTTTTTATTACACTACCAATGTAATTTAATCAACTCAGTAGAGCTTGCCATATTAAGCTTGTTATGATGATTGATGATCAGTTACCTGTTGTTTTAGATCAACTTAAACTTAATCTGATGATATTCATTATAATTCTATCAATGTACAAAACTCAAAACATATGGAGATTTTGACAGACCTTTAATGTTGGGCAACCTTGGTTGAGAGTAATGACCAGTTGCAACAACCACAGCATCAAAGACTTCCTCCACCCCTTCCTCAGCTTCCTTCTCTTTGCTCTTCACAATCCATCTCAAGTCCTTACCGAATTCGGGATAATTCAGCATCCCCACATACTCAACTCTAGTATTGAATCTTATCATCTCCCTTAGCCCAAAATATTCACAAAAATCTTGTAAATACAAGAGAAGCTCCTTATGGCCAGGAAATCTCCTTGGATCCCTCCCTTTCTTCACCACAAAAGGAAAATCAGTAAACCCCATGATCTCTCTTGGTGATGTGAGCCTTAATGATGCATAAATACTGCTATGTACTATTAGGATATTATTCCTTCCTAAAGGATCTTCATGTTCAACTTTAGGTTGATATAGCCATTGCCCTCCCACATCATGGTTTTGTTCAAAAACCACCACATTGTGCCCTTCATTTCTCAGCTCCCTAGCTGCCACCAACCCCGATGGTCCCGTACCGATTATGCACACATTCTTGGACAAATTTCTCTCAGAAACCATGGTTGATATGAGGAAAATCTCCTGGAAAGCAATGCAGTTCTTGGAAGTTAAAAATGATGGGATTGGGTGAGTTGGGGGGTTATGCTGAGAATGAGAAAAAATGAGACTGATTAGCTACTATATATACTATACTACTGCTATCTAAAATCATGGAGAGTTTGCAGGGAAGGAGACACATGTGACTAAGAGCGTGTTTGGTATTGCTACTAAGAACTGCTTATTTTTAGAAATACTTTTTTTAAAAGAAGTGCTTTTGAAAAAAAACAATGTGTTTGTTTAATTCATTTGAAAAATGTTTTTGATAAGCAAATTGTGTTTGAGTAATTTTTAAAAAAAAGTAATTTTGAGAATTAAATTATGAAAAAGGACAAAAATTAATGCACTTTTAATATTAAGATTATTTATAAAGAGAAATTTTTTAAAATATATTAATTTCTATTTTTATTGAAGTAAAGTATACATGTTCAAAATTTCATTCAATGTTACACATAGATAAAAAACTTAAGATTCTTTCACAAATTAATTCACCACAATAATGAACAAATATAATGGATATATCATCATATATTACTAAAAGCATGAACAAAAAAATTGAAAGTTGAATTACGGTTTTACCCTTTCTACAAATTAAATTATTATAAAATATTTAAATATTTAATTGTATAAATTTAATTAAATGTTAATGACTTTTAGACTTCCTAAAATTAATTCCTAATTAAATATCCAATTTATTAATATTTATCATCTATAATATGTATGTATATATATAATAGTTATAATTTTTTTTAAAAAAAATCTTTACCTAAATTTTTTTTCTTTCCCTCTTCTTATAACTTTTTCCTTAACCCCTCTCATGAATAATATAATTGATGTGGATAAAGTATTATCCTTTATGATAAATAACGAAATTTATGATTTAAAGGGTGCAAATCTACAAAATGGAGACGCACATTGATAATGTCCTCTTGATTATTATTAAAGAATGACTCTAGCTTCACAAATTTAATTCATTAATGCTTAATTACATGATAAAAACTTTAGTTAGCTCTTTTTACATGGTTTGCTAACTTTAATTTTTTTTTCATATTCTTCATTTATTTATTGTTATTTTCTAATTACTTATTTAACTTTTATACTCTTAATATTCATAACTCTCATCTTTTCATATTCATAACCTCCAAATATTTAAACTAAAACTTTAAGATATCTTTTGATATTCCTTCTATTCTATTTATATAAATTCAACTTCTTTATCTCATTAAACCCCTATGAAGATTATTAGGCTATTATTTTTATTCTATAGTAAAAACAGATGATGAAGACTCTTGAATTTTGATAGGATATGAAAGGAGTCGATAAAAACTCAGAGAGTTATGTACTAATTTTGTACTTATATTTTCATCTATATACATCAATCTTATAAGAATAATGTCTATATTGTATTTTTACTTAAATATTCTATTTCTTTGTCTTTTTTTCACTCTTTTAGACTTCTTAATTTAGTTTTCTATAAATGTTTTATTGCTGTAAGTCTTTGAATTTTGTAATTGATACATTTTATTATTCATTATAATTATATATATATTTCCATGAGATTTTAGTCATTCTAACGTATCTATAAAAATTTAATGAAACACACGTGCGAAGCACGTCCTCAGAAACTAGTTAATAAATATGTATATATGATAGGGTTATTTTGGTCATTAAAAAATAATTTTATGCTTATGTTTCTTAAAAAGTAAAAATTGTTAGCGTCTTCCGAACGACGAAAAAATTGCTTCTGCTTCCATTCAAAAGTAGTTTTATTGATTTGTCTCAAAAAAAATTAAACTGTTTTTCTCTAAATAAGTATTCCTGATCTTCCAACAACAATGTTAAACATACTCTGAATAATATGTCTCCATGAATTCCCATTTTGGGAAGAAAACTCTTGTTCTCGAAATAGTCAACTCGTTTTGTTTGACTTTTTAGACGGTAAATATTTACTCTATCGAGTTTTTGTACCAAATCGAACTAAAACAACATTAATCACATGTTATAGCTTTGAATCGATAGCACTCAACTATGATTTGAGTGTGCGATAATTATGTACACGAGAAATACATATCTTTGATCTGAAGTTGTAAACACAACGTGTTCTTTTTAAGTTTTGCCTTTGCTTTTTAGTCATTAATTAAATTAAACAAGATTTCCACATAATGTATGTCAGGGGAACTTGACTTTAAGTAGAAGGCTCTCCATTTGGATAACTTTCATCCAAAGATGTATAAAGCTACCAACATAATTGGTCATTTGTATAGCTCTTAGCTGTGTTTTATGATATATAAAAAACTATTACTCCCTCCGTTTCAGATATTTTTATGTGACTATAAGTCATTTTATTAAGAATAGAATAAATATTTTATATAAAAATATGTTTTTTTTTGAAACGGACTAAAATGAAATAAATTATATGAATTGAGATTGAGAGTACTATATAATATATTATATTACGTGTATGGTTGCGTACCAATTTTTTTTTTAATTTATAATATATATATAATAATGAATTAATGCTATATAATATATGATGTGTGTGACTTGCGTCCCATTTTTTATTTTACAATAATAATGATGAATTATTGATACGTAATTATGAAAAGATTGAAACATCTCGTCAAAGAAGGTGATAGCCCTGTAGATGATGTGGGTGGGTTGCGCCCCACTTTTTTCTATATTAATGAATAATGATATTTTAATGGGTCATTTGGTAGATAATCGGATATGAGTTAGGCATGCAATAAGTGATAGATTATTTATTTATAAAATAAATATTGTGCTTGATTTGCTATTTAAAAAAGTTATGCATGCAATAAGTGATAAATTATTTCTTTATAAATAAGTGATAAATTATTTATTTATAAAATAAATATTGTGCTTGATTTGCTATTTAAAAAATTGCATAATTAAAATTTTGGTAGAATTTATATATTATTTTATGCATGACTGAAAATGAAATGAATATATACATACACAAATAATATGTAAATTCTCTGTAACTAATCTTTATACTTCTTAACACTGGTAAATTCTTTATCAGCTACCAAAGTATTCCTAAAGACTCGTTTAGTAGGTGACTTTGATTTGGTAGGACGGTTCAAACATTCCTTTTAGAGTCTTTCCCATTTATACTATAAAAAAATAATTAAGTAGTTGTCAACTAACACATTTCACTTATTATTATTATTATTATTATTATTAATAATAATAATAATAATATATAAAGTAAGAAAAGTAAGAAAACTGTATTTGGGTCGTTTTCGACGAGAGTTCGGAGTTTAAAGGGTATAAAATATTAACAAAAAATATATAAAAGTTTATATTAACCAAAATGGAAAAATACACTGGAGCAACAGCGATTTCCTCCGCCTGAAAAAGCAAAATCGCTGCCTAGGCAGTTTGAATTTTTCATTTTTTTAAAAAAAATGAATCGTAAAAAAAATTATTTTTTTTTAAAAAAGCAGCGATTTCCTTGAAAAAGAAACACTGCAAATCGTTGTTGTTTCAGCGATTTTACCATTTTAGTTAACATAAAATCTTAAATATCGTTTTGAAATTTTTGTTAATATTTTATATCCTTTAGGCTCCAGACTCTTTTCAATGACGTAGATATATAGTGACTAGTGAGTTTGATTTGAAAGATATAGTAGACCAAAATAATATGTTATAATTTCCTAAAACCCCTCGAGCCATGGGATTTCATAATTCTAATGTGCCACTACCGCTATGCTGTCATTAACTATTCGCGTATTAGTAAATGTATGATTAGTTATTTATTTTTTATTTTGTATAAATCTAATACTTAAATTAACTCATTATTTCAGAAGTTTTTATGTTTAATTGTAAATTAGTATTAAATATTACATTCGATATGTTGAATTTTATACGTGTCAATTAAAATGCTACTTACGTTGATTTTAAATCATGAACAATTTACTTCTGTAACTAGTAATCAAAACAGTCCTCGAAGTGTCTATGAAAAGTTTGCAGTAACATAGAAAGTTAGTTTAATCAATGGTGGAGTTTTGGAGCTTCACTTGGAGATTCAAAATATGGAAAAAAGATAATTAAAGTACATGAATAAATTTTTGGATAATAAAATTAATCTTATTTATATAATGATTGTTTTTTCTGATGTAAAGATTCAAATGAAATCGTTGTAATTCAAATTTTTTTTCCAGTATTTGACTATAAGATTAATGAACAATCTTTTGATCTATGTGTCGCTCCATATTCAGTCATGTCTAATTAGAAGTTTCAAAATGTATTTTGACTAGTAGGGTTAATGAATGATCCTTTGATCTACGTGTCGCTCCAAATTCAGTCATGTCTGATTAGAAGTTTCGAAATGAACGGAGTTAGGGGGGAAAAGGGTAGTGAGGCTTAGATTGTGCTTTAGTTAAGCCTACAAAAGAAGAAAACCAAAAATAGATTGTTTCTCTTGTCATCATATCAACTTAATTATTACTTTCATGTTCACACCTCTTAATTATCATAATAAAGATATTAATAAAGTTTATAATTCCCTGTATTTAGACCAACAAGAGATAGAGATGCTTGACTTGGAGACTTGGAAAAATGGATTGAAGTATACATTTAAAAGGAATAATTTATGCTTAACTTGGTTAAAGTAATAAACTTCTTATGTATAATTACCTACATGTAGGCCAGACTATATTTTTAAGGCACTCATTGTCAGCTGTATTTGACTTGCTCACTAATTTTTTGACTTCCATTCTCCAACAATTTTCTCACACACACCCCACCCCCACCCCCACCCACACCCACGTACACATACATATATAATCATGGAAAGATTTTAAAATTAACTTTGCATAATTGACATGCATGGTACATGGTGGTTAATTTTAGAGATAATACAATACTTAAGCAAATAAATATGATAGTTAGATGCTAAACATAATTAGGCTATCATTGTGACTATATATAGCATTTGATTTCTCCTTTCTTGAAGCCAAGGGAACATCAATAATCATGACATAGTGTTACCAATTCACCATGCAAGTTCATCATTGAATATCAACCTTTTTTGTTTTTGTCCTCTTTAAACTAAAGTAAGATTAATGGAAAAAAAGGGGTACATTTTCATAACACTCATGACTTTCTAACTTTTTTTTTTCCATAGTTAATTTATGTTTTTATTTATTGAGAGATTCAATTATTTCAAATTTATTCGCATGTGATCTAATAAAGTGGAAGTGCTCTTAATTATCAAGATTTTTTTACTATTAGATTCAAATCGAGATCGATCTCTAATTAAAAATGAAATGAGTATATTCACCCTCACTACAATTAATGATAATCTTGAACTAGCATATAATTTTTGTGTAGTTTATAGTTGGTGATATAATTTTTTCTTATTCGGTGTCCGATCTCTAAATTGGAATCATATTAAATCAGGATTTGTGCTGGAAAGATAAAAACAATTCGATACATATGAAAACTTGAGTTCAAAATCTTTGATTAAGGATGAAGGGATACTTACAACTCCATTACCATTGTAATTGGTAGTGATAATTCTTGTTGGGGTGCAATTCAAGTATAATAGGACAAGCATGACTCATATTTTACAACTTAAATAAGTAGTACTACACAACTAGTAAATTATGAGTCACTTGCTTGAAAACTTTGGAGACAAACGCCATTGGTCAAAATGATGTGGAAAAGGCATTTACAGAGAACCATTTTTTTATATACTTTCAACACCAACTTTATATCATAAGGACCATCTTGTTGTTGAAACTTTAAAAGCAAGGTTTCAAAAAAAGAAAAAAAGTTGAAACGTCAAAAAATGTTTAAGTTTTATCATGCAAATATGCAATTATTAAAGTCACGAGCCTTGGAATTTAGTTTATTTTATACTGTACATTGTACAATAATGCTTGGCCTACTAGTTAGAAATTTTTCTTCAAGGAAATAATATAAGTAGTTTGCACAAATTTTGTAAATCTTTTCTTTCTTGTTTATAACGTGGGATGTTAGAATTGATTTTCTTTTAATTATTAACTTTTTTCTTTTTTAAAAACTCCTCTTAGGAGCTTGTTATTTTGCTTTCACTCGAATTCACAATCTCAAAATTGGAAGTAGAGGGTGTCTATCTGTTGAGCAACCCTTTCTTGTCGATCAAGCAATTGATTATTCTTTTAAAAATCTTCCTAGGTGCATTTCCTTTCTCTCTTCGTGACTCAAATTTAAAATTGGAGGATGGGGTGTGCTTATCACTTGAGCAACCCTCTCTTTTTCGTTATTGACTGAGCAAATTAATTACTCAATTTTCAAATATATCTACTTTTAAGGACTGCTATTTAAAATATAGCCAGCATTTGCAAAACTCCAATTCAAAGAGTGGAACCCTCTCTTTGTTGTTGACTGAGCAAATTAATTACTCAATTTTCAAAAATATCTACTTTTAAGGACTGCTATTTAAAATATAGCCAGCATTTGCAAAACTCCAATTTGAAGAGTGGAACTAAGATACATTTGCAAATTAAGCCAATTTTTTTTCCACCTAAACTCTAGCCTTACTGTCCATATAAATTTGCAAAATGATGATGAATTGTTTTTAACAAAATAGCTGATTCAAACACTTCGAAATATACATTTATCTGCAATTAATGACTAATGTCATCTCTCAAGCACCACTTTATTGAATCCACCCACTTTAGAATTATGAATTCTTCAAAATTAAAATAATTTGTATAAAATAATTTGCATTAATATTTTAACGGTTTTGCATATCTGTCTAGTGATGAATTATTTTATGCGCAAAAAATACGTTTGGAGACTCTTTAGGACCAATCGCAACCTATAATCTTGATAATTGTGATTTTTTTTATTATTATTGTTAGTATCAAAGTTTATCTATATGACTATATCTCATGCATTAATCACGCTTATTCTTATAAAAAAAAATTGTCTATGAATTTTAAAATCCCCCTCTATCTATCTATCTATCTTATTGTTTTTTCTCTCTTTTCTTTTTTCCTATCATTTTGTTTTCTTTCTTTGCAATTTTAGAAATTTTGTTCCCTCAAAAAATTACCAACTAATTGTTAAGAGTCCCTCTTTGGTTTTTCATTCCCAATTTATCAAGAAATAGGTATAATTTTCCACCAGAATTTTCTTTTTTGTTGGTGTTAAATGATTCTTGATTGTGTTCCTCAAAGATTGATCTCAAATTGAAGATGAAAATAATCCATGTTAATGAAATGTTCAATTCCTTTTGTCTGAATTTAGGTTTTGTTTTTGCTTCTTGACGTAATTTTTGAATTAATAACACAATCTAATTTTACAGCTCCAGGACGAACTCAATGTACCTTTTAAATTTAAATAACGATTTTCACTTTCCTTTATGCTGAATTTGTTGCAGAATAATGGAGATGATAATTGGAAATGTATGATTTAGGAAGTAAACATATTTATTAATTTTTTATCAAAGGATATTATGGATTGTTTTATCTATTGAAACGAAATGACATTTTCCTTTTTTTGGTGCTTCATACGTTTATATGCCACAACTTATTCATGTTACTAAAAATTTTTTGTCAAATATATATATATGTTCCATATCTTTACGTCTTTATAATCATATACAATTTGTTAGTTATATCTTAATAAAAGTTCATTAATTTGGATGCATTAATTTTTTAGGTAATAAGAATAACAGTGCATTTTGAGGAATATTCAGATGGAGGCAGAAGTGCAAACTGCATAATAGGTACTTTCTTTTCATCCTTGTTACATTGTTCTTTAAAATTGTTGTCCTACAAATGCACAATAGCATATATCCTTCGAATCATTTTTATAACGGTAGGGGTTTATATTTAACCTATGTTTCTCAGGCTCTCCCTAAAATGTCGTTGAACCCATGTCGGATCTTTCAAAACTGTCCTACCTTTGGAAGATTCGACAGGCACATGTCTAACATTTTTAAAGAGTCCGACCAACATAGATATCAATTATCGGGAACAAAATGGTTTATGTTTAATCATGATGGAAAACCATGAATGCCACCACATGCTTTTTAATTAGTATCAATTTTCTCACAGGTCCTTGTTTGTTTGTTTTTTTACACTAGGGTGCTGCATTTGTGAGGTCAAGGTTTCAAAGGGTCTCTTCTTCTGATAAGTTTTTCTAGGTAAGTGTTGAAATTTAACAGTTGTGAAAAACATAAAAGGAAACAAGCAATGTGAGATTCTTTACTAAACCTCTCTGTATCTCATGATATATCTGCAGTGATACTCTAGCTCAAAATGGGTGAGATGGTTGTTGGCATACCTGCACATCTGGAGAGAATTGAGCGTGATGCTCGCTTTTTGAGAAGGAACTCAACTGGCAGCTTTGGCTTTCAAATTGATAAATCCAAGGTCTTGTCACGTTACCTGAGTGATCCAAAAGGTTCTTGCCATGACGCTTGCAAAGGTGCTGAACGTGATGATCAAACAACAATAGCAAGGACTTCCCTGCTGAGTAGAATGGTAGTAGCATCAGAAAAAATACCAGAACCGGCTACAACTGTACAGGTGCAGATACGGAAGAAACCACTACGCTCGAGTAAGCTGCCTGTGAATTTCAAGAGGCGTACAACTGGTAAATCACAGAGACAGGAGATCCCGGCATACACCAAGAGATTAGCTGTTTCTGTAAAACAACGAAATGATTTGAAGATGAAGTCTTTGCAGGAAAATGCTAGTTCAATGTCCGGAATCTATAAGCTGAGGATAAGAGGATACAGCAACACTAGCATACCAGGGGGGTCATCAATTGCTCAAGATTCTCCGTTGGATGGTGCAACTGGCACACCAAACAAAGGAAGCAGGATGGACAAGAACACCGCGTCTTCAAAGTTGGGCAACAAGAGGGCTGTCGGGAAACCTGCAAACTTGGAGAAAATTGAGCATGAACTCAGTTATTTGAGAAGGAACTCAACTGGCAATTTAGGTATTGAAATGGGTGACTCCAAGGTCTTGCCACGTTATATGAGTGTTCCAACAGGTTCTTCTGACGATGGTAAAGATGGTGCGGAACTCAACTGTAAAACAAAGGTGAGGACTCACATGTCCAAAACATCTGTAACTTCATCAGGAGAAAATTCAAAATTGGCTACAACTGTGAATTGGCAGATACGGAAGAAACCACTACACATACACTCAACTAAACTACCTGCAAATTTCAGAAGGCTGAAAACTTCCCATGGAAAGGAAATGCAAGCATGCACCAAAACCTTAGCCTTTTCTGCAAGGCATCGAAGTGATTTGAAGCTGAAGCCTCTTGAAGAAAATGATTATTCTGTGTCAAGAAGCAACAAATTAAGCAGAAGAAGATACAGTGACAGTCTTATGACAGGGGTTTCACTAACACTTAAGGGGTCTATATTGGATGACGCAACCACCAAAACAAACACAGGAAGCAGGATGGATAACGACACTGCATCTTATGAGTTGAGCAAGAAAAAGGATGTTGGCATGCCAGTGAACCTGGACAAAATTGAGTCCGGAGTCCGCTATTTGAGAAGGAACTCAACTGGAAGCTCAGGTATTGAAATGGGTAAATCCAAGGTCTTGTCATGTTCTACGAGTGTTCCAACAGGTTCTCGCCAAGAAGTTTGCAAATACACAGTTGCAAGTGATCTTAAAAAGAAGGCGAGGACTCTCCAGCGCACAAGACCTGTAGCTGCATCAGGAGAAATCCCAGAAATGGCTAGAACTGTGAAGTTGCAGATGGGGAAGAAACCATTAAGCTCAAGCCAGCTACCAAATTTCAAGAGCCCGACAACCTTTCAAACCCAGGGAAAGAAAATCCCAGCATCCACCAAAATAGCTGTCGAAAAAGGATCCTCCGGGTTGAGCAAGAAGAAGGATGCCATAACTATTTCCCACTCTACAAGAATTTCCTTGAAGAGGGTATCAGGCAAAAAGTTAAATAACAGTTCCCCCGGAATGGTATCTCTTCCCAATAAAACAGGCAAAGTGATTAGTAAAGATGATCCAAACAAGGTGTCTCATATGAATAATTTGACTAGCCTTGCACGAATAAAGAAAATGCAACCTAGTCATGAAAGCTTTGCAAACAAGGCATCTCAACTTAGAAAATCAGCTAGTCTTAAACAAGGCAAGATGGAGCTAGGAAGTAACAGGAGTGTTCCAAGGGGGACATCAAAGACAAAAATCCTGACCATACAGATCTCTCTGGAAAACCGGAAGGCCAGAGTCTCGCCTTTAGATAGGCATGGCCCAATTAGAGGAAAAAAACCGTCGCCCCATCTCTCCCCATCATCTTCTCTACATTCTGATGGCACTAGCTCCAGAAACCTTGGCAACAGGAAATCCTCCCTATCATCAACTTCTGCATGTGAGTCTGTTAATGGTGATGCAATATTCAGCAGTTCCAAGAAAAGTGGAACCACAAGCCCAAACCAAGATATAAAAGCTGGAAGGGCTGCAATTTGCAGTCCTAAAAATCTCAAGTTCAGGAGAGGACAAATAATTGATTATCAGTCAGAGAAACTCAGTCCAAGAAGACTAAAATTCAGGCCACCTAAAATACTAGAGAACGGCGGAAATGGAAGTGCTCTTGTTAGAGGAAGAAGCTCTAGGAGATTTATTGCTTATGGAAAGTCAAATGCTGCTAAAGATGAAACTATGAGAGTTAATCTTCGACACCAATCTAAACGAGGCAAAAAAGAGGCTCCAATCTTGTTGAACAATGTGATCGAAGAGACTGCAACCAAGCTTGAGGAGACCAGGAGAAGCAAGGTCCAGGCTTTGGTGGGTGCTTTTGAAACTGTAATCTCCCTTCAGGATCCAACATCCTCACCGCCAATTACTTCCAGATGATAACTGTGTTCTATGACAGAAAGAAATATATATATATATATATATATCTATATTAATAGATAACTTGAGTTACGTAACTGAAGCAGTAGGTGCAGGATTTCAAGCACTACTCTTTCTAAATACATGTATACTACCTAACTGATTCTACATACTCCGTAAATGTCATTGTACAAGTGTAGTAGTGTAGTTGTAAGTTATTTTTGTAATGTGACATAACATATTACACTTCTGCACATTAATCATACTTGTGTATTCTGTGTCTATGACAATAGATCATAATTAAAACATCAATTGTTTGTCCTCTGTTGTTGCGGTTTAAAAGATAACACTCATCTAACAACAGAATTTTATAGATATCAATGAATACTAATATCGCGGTAGATAGTATCAATAATGTTTTCCTACTCTTTAAACATCCTCCTAGAGTTGAACAATCAAGGAATATGAACTAGATTTTTCACTACGATGTCTCTAATGTATAATCTTCAAAAAAGGGAATAGGCATTGAATTGTATCCAGATGAGCAATAACTACATAACACAACGAGGCGCATTATATAACCAAAACAAACGAGAACTAAAATAAGATGACAGAGAAACATGTTTTCCACCAGAGACTAATAAGAAGAAATTGCTAAACTTAATTATTCTGATTGATTTTGATGCAAAATATCAGTTCGACTAAATTTTCCAAAAAAAAATAAAATCAGCTCGAGTATAGCAAAAGAGAAAGATTTAAAACTTAATTATTCCAATCGAAGATTATTCTTTTGGTTTTTTTTTTTAATCCGATGCTCGGTAACCGCATTTGAGCTGGCTTCTCGAGTATTTTTCAGGATTTGAGCCCGAAAGCTCAGGTGAAGGAAGGACTAGTCTCATCTACTACAACACATGATGGTCTAATAGAGATTTGATTTCCTCTACCATTTGAGGTACTGTTGTATAGTAAAAAATAGAACAGGATATCACAATTCACATTGTTGAGTTCAAATTCTCCAAATTTCAGCAACAACTACCATACTTTTACTATCAAACTTGATCAACAAAAATAAAAATACTCGAAAAATTATCAAATTTCAGATCTAGACTTGCTCCAGTTTCACTACGCCCTCTTTCTACCATTCCAAAACTTACTTTGATTTCAAAAGAGATTAAGGTTTTCAGAGAGGAAGAAGACGAAAATTTTTACCAGTTATGACGAGAGGATTCCCGCGTCTGCAATGGAAGAGCAATTCCCTCAAACTTAGCGTGAGGAAGGAGAAATGGGAGAGATGATTACAACTTGGTAAATTTAATTTTCCTCAAAAATTTAAATAAATAACTAATTGAGCTATCATAATTTTTAAATAGTCCTCCATTTAAAAAAATGATAGAACTTTAATTTTCACGCGATATAAAATTTTTCTTTATTTCATATCAAATCAAATTATGTTATTTTTTATAAAACGAAAGAATACATAATTTCCAAATATATTTGGAAAAAATAATCAAAATAATCTTATATACGTTCTTACATAAGTGAAATAATTCTAATATATAAAAAATATATTTTGCATTATGATTACACGGAAATATTTATAACTTAAATTCAATATGCATTAGATCAGATATTTAGGTGACAGAAATCCATAAGATCACCTTACTAAAAATAATTATTTAATAAAATCATGTTGTTATTGTTTTGCATTGTTTTAATATATAAGATCAAACTTTGCATATATCTTTTAAAAGTAAGCTTATTATTATTTTGACAATACAATATATGACATAACATTTTATATACTTCCCAAAATTAATTACAAAATTATATTAACCCTATTCATTTGAACCTGGCCCAGCCCCATTGATCCTCCAATATATAGAGATAGTTTGGGTCACTAAATTTATAAAATGTTTTTAATGAAAAATAGTTTTTAAAAATTAGTTTTTTGATCTTTAGTGAGTAAATAAAAAAAAAAACTACAACAAAAAAAATTTATATTAATATGTAGAAAAATGCCAAAGTGGTGAGGCATAAGCTTAAAATGTCACTTAAAGTAATTTTTCCTCCCTACTCACATTTGGAAAGTTATTTTTCTTTAAGAAAAAACTTTTTTCAAAACTATTGAGTAACCAAGCATAGAAAAAAAAAGAGAGAGTAATCAAGCATGAAAAAATCAAAAAATAGTTTTCTCTATGCATAATGTACACATTTTCACCTTGAGTAAAGATTGTTTTAATTTTAAGATTTAGACGCATAAGTTTTTTATTGCATAATAATAACTTTTATTATCAACTAATCATAAAAAGAAATTGGAAGGACAATGATGTAGGGTGAGTCTAAGTGAATAGGATTATAGATTTGGATTGAGTCAGGTCAAATTGTGGTTTACTTTCACGTAGACTAAGAAAAAGAAGATCTATTTAAACTAAATAAATCATGATTTTTATATTTTTTAAATTTTTTTAGAGAAATCCACAATATAATCTATGTGATGTCTTTTTTCTTCGGATGAGCACTCTCTAGTGAGCATTTTAGGATAACTTGCTCACTTTACAATAACTCGTTAATTACATTTTAAAAAATGTGAATATTGTCATATTTTGTTGACAAAATATAAATAAGATGACTTTTGAAGAGATTAGATAAAAACTGAATAACTGTCTTATTAAAATAAAATAAATGACTTATTTGTAATAACCATAGAAGGAAAAAAAATATGACATGAAGCCTTTTAGAAAAAAAAAATCTAAAATTTGAAAGAGATAAATCGTGCAATTATTCGTGGCATGGAATGTTAATTAAAACATTACAGAGATGAGTCGCTCTCAATAAGGATAGAATTTTCCTTTCAAAAATACAATTCAATCATTTGTATTAATTAATAATATAATTAGGTCCAGACTGTTGACAAAGATGCAAATGGTCCAAATTTAACAATGGCCTCAACTTCAACTTCATGATCATTTATTTTTTTAATTTTTTTTTTATGATCGTGATGTTGATGTCAGCTTTTATGCGCTTTAATTAATTCACTATTGACTAATGTCAACATATATCCTGCTTATGACAAGGCCCACAGGGGGTTGGATGGTCCGGGTTGGAGTTATGATCGAACATGACCCTTGTTTGATAGACTTAGTTAAGAAATAAAATTGTATCTTTGCTATCAGCTATGACTTTTGTTATGATGATAAGCGTTTGATCCTAACAAGTGGTATCAGAGTCAATGTTGTGGGTCCGATTTATGTTGGGAGGCAGATTCGTGAGTTTGATTCCCAAGAGCAATATTCTACATGAGGCAGGTGTTGGGAGTGGGATTCGTGGATTCGATTTCCAAGAGCAACATTTTGCATGAGATAGGTTTTGTGAGGGAAATTCGTGGGTTCGATTCTCAAGAGCAATATTTCGCATGAGACAGGTGTTTGAAGGGAAATTGTTAAATAATATCAACATTCTATCTATGACAAGGCTCACGAGGGACTACGTAGCTGAGGTCGGAGTCATGATCCCCTCCTTCATTTCTTGAATTTAATTTATCACCATTTCTTATTTCGAGATAGTCATATCAAGTCATCATGACAAGGTTGCTTCCTGTACGTAGAACCCACAAAAAATCTTTGTAATTAAAATTAGGATCAACACCTCTGGTCCTCCTTTTTATTATTACTTTTTTTTTTTGGGTCTTTTTACATAATACTATTACAGTTGAAACAAATACTCGACCGATAATATATTTTATATATAGGTTAAGGTTAGGGTTTACAGAAAATATGGCATTTTCTTTAGGATATCTAAATCGTGAACAAAGCAAATTTATCATTTCGTTTCAACGTAAATGACATGGATCATGTTTATTTATAAATCTTTTTCTCCTACGAAAAAAATTATAAATTTTTTATACTAGTATTTTACGATTCAATACTGAAGTGGAAAATAAAAAAAAATCTTCATATAGTTTTGATTTTGACTTATTGTAATTACCCTGACATGATTCAAAAGTCTCAAATCTCGTTCTCAAAATTAAATAGTATGCTCATTTCGTCCTAGTCATATCAAGTTGAAGATGCTAATGCAAAATTACGTACTCTCTCCATTCATTTGTACTTGTTCATTTTGAATTTTGCACGTCTCTTAAAAAAATAATTGATATGAATATCTTATATTATAATACTATTAAGCATTAAAAATGATTTGAAAAATAAATAGTTATATAAACAGTGGAAGTATTACGTTTAGAGTGGCGAAATCATAATTTTAATCTTATAAATTTTGAATTTTATAACGACGAATTCAAGTGTTAATAACAAAATATTAAACTTAATACATACACATTTTTTTAAAACTTCTTAATGTAAACACATTATGTGAGCAAATATTACTATTTGATAGAACATATATCCCAATATAGATAGTGGAACACATATATCATTATATTGGTATAGGAAAAGTACAAGTCTTTTAAAATATCTTTAAAAAGATGTATAGTTGACAACTCGAGTTACATGGGTAATTGTCAATAAACTAGTCAATCAAAAGTAAATGTTTTCATTATTTAAATTTGCAAAAAGAAAAAAAGGTCGAGGAGTCGTGGAGAAACTCTTCTGGTTATTAAAAATTGTGAAGACTCATTTCGTACATGTAATTTAGAGATCATTTCAAACGCAAAATGAGATAGATAAAAATATCATATTGATTGAGATAATTAGTCGCAACATTTTGATATAAATCATTTCAAAACTAATAAATATATATACATCCATAACCAAACACAAATTATTACTTGATAGGAAGAACTTCCATTCAGACCTGTCCTAGCTATGCAATTTTAAAATAATCAAGTGTAAAAAAAGCCAAAAGAAAAATAAATAAAATAATTTTATATTTTATCTCAATTATTATTCTTAAATCACCAACTAAACTAAACGTGAAATAAAATAATGCATAAGGAAGGGAGGAATGTGTTGATGTCTTGGTTGAAAGTGATCTTCACCAAACTCATTGAAGAATAGCTTCTTTTCTCACTTAACAAATTAATTTCAACTATAAACTTTGTGTCGGCATAGTATTAATTTCCGAAACATTTATTTGTTTTTTATCTATAATTCACTTACTAGTATTAGAATTCTCATTTACCTATTTGTTCGAGTATATCAAGTCTAATTGTCTCAACAAATTTCAACTATCATTTCATAAAAGCATTCCATAATTATATGGTGTTTCGTTTTTTGAAAGTCAAATAATTTAAGTTTAATCGAGAAATTATTTATGAAATTTTTAAATTTTTAAAAATGAAATATATATTTTT